ACATCCCCAGGGAGTACACTTAGTGCATTGACCGACCAGGAGAGAGAGAGATTATTCTAAAGTCTAAGTGGTGGAAAACTGCACGCGATAAACCAAGTGTTTGTGTAGCAGAGTGTGGTGACTACATGTGCGAAGAAGTCCGAGAACAGTGTAACTAACATACGCTGAGTTGTGGAAGAAGTGTGGGAGGGGGGCAGGAAGAGTGGGGAGGGGGGCACAAGTTCAAGGTTAGAGTGCTGTATATACTAAGTTTTTTGGCGGGAAAACTTAATCCAATTAATTAACCAGGTGAGGGTGCCAATTATTTTTTTTTGGCGGGAAAATGGACTTTGGCGAGACAATTTAATAAGTGCAAATAACAAAGGTCCAAATCAACAGTTTTGAAGATATTTTATAATGACATTAATGTGGGTGGCTAAGATAGTTTTTGGGCAATTTGGCTAAACAATATGAAAAATTCTTCCTTGACACCAAAAAAATAACATTAATTCAGGATAACATTGTGGCATTGAAAGGGCTGACTAAGATACAAAGTTTTTTGGCACGAGAATTTAGAAGTGTACGGGTTGAAAGCAACAATTTTGGGGCAATTTGGCATTCCACTATACGATACAAAGAGAATAACAACGTGGAGTTGATTCAAAGCTTTTTGGGTGGAGAATTTAATTGTGTATAGGTCCAAAGCGACAATTTTGGGGCAATTTGGCATATTCAACTAAATACAAAAAATTTTTCAGTGATGCTTAACTCAGGATAAAAACGTGGAATTGAAGTGGCGGATAATTTTGTTATAGAGGTCCAAAGTGACAATTTTGGGGCAATTTGGCATTCAACTAATAATAATATACGATAAAGAATTTTTCAGTGCCCTTTGTCATGGAATTAAAGATGTTTAACGTCAAATAGCTCCTCACCTAAAAAAGGCTTGCCGACCTTCAGAGTAGAGTGAACTGGGCAAAGGGACTCAGAACTGCGAGTGCAAGTGTGTGCATGTGGAGTGTTGTCTTGTGTTATTATAAGGAAACATACTCACACCTCCCCATCTTCTTTTACACACTCAGGTTGAGATCTGCCAGCTATAGTCTGGTCTCTGGATCATCCACAATGTCGTCTTGAAGACAGAGAACACAAGTCAGTGTATTGAAAGCAACGATTGGCGTGCTAAGAAAATGCCAATGTTGTGCTATGGTCACACCAATTTTATCAAAGATTTTTGCAGAATTTCAATAAAGCATCATGCAGTCTTAAGGCAAAACAATTTAAGTCCTCCTGGCATCCCTTGATACTCCAAATAATGCGAGCCACAAATTCAACTTCTGAAACTGGGCTGGTTCACAATTCAGACAATGAATTTTAAACTTTCAATCAAATCACTGCATGGATAAATAGAAAAATTTACAGTAGCAACAAAGTCAAGGACTTCATCTGCTGGTGCCAAAATGTCAGCATATTTTTTTGGGAAATCATAAAAAAAATCAAGTACTAGCCAGGCAAATCTGAGAACCAAGAAAGACCATTAAAGATTGACTGAGAGTCAGTCCATCCCAGTTAAAATACTGTTTAGTTGAAATTAAAAAGCATGAAAACATCCAAATTTCTCAAACTTTCATATTTTGGTATTTGCAACTAAAACCAAATAAAGCTGAATATCACATGCATTATTTTTTTTTCCTTTGGAGTGTATAGCTTCTACTGTCTTTACTGAAGAAAAGAAGTGGATGCTTCTTTAAATGTCTGATAGTTTTCAAAATCTATCCAGTTGCTTGAGTAACAGTTTTCTACTAAATATGCATCTCATCTTCATGTTTAACCTCCTGATGATCAAATCAGATGTACTTATAGCTAAATCTGATTACATTTTACAAAAAAAAGGATGTAACCAACCACAAAAAATGTTTATATTCAATACAGACAAAACTGTCACTGATGGCGCTATGTAGGTTTAACCTTTGTAACATGTCAACCTTTCAAATGTATGTTTGGAAATACAAACTTACCAGTTTAATGTCTTGGTCTTCTTCTGTACTGTGTCTCAAATGTTCTGTGTCTTCAAGTCAACTGCTTTGCTAAGCTCTCATTTGGTCTGCATTGGACAGGAGTTGCTGGTCATCACAGGTTTCCCCCAGTCAGCACAGGAACATCAGGACAGTCACCTACATGTAATAAGGAAAGGCTAATTAGTGTGAAGCAAAAACATCTCCCATTCAACACTAAATGGCCATTAAATGATAGATAAGAAACTTGAACAATTGAATTATCCCTTTGCTTATCAATAAATCTGATTAGAAAAATGAAAAATGCTGTAACATTGATTTAAAAAATCCAGGCTGTGTGTTATTTCTTTAAAGTTACCGTAACTGTAATTCTGACATATTAGTGACAGAAAGAAGTTACCAGGTACTTAATATACAGATATAACAAGTTACACACTTTCCTTAAATACACCAAGCAAGTGGAATTTGCAAAATGCAGAATTAAGATTTTTCTCACCTGATATTCTTATTGGGTCTTCTGGGGTCACCTGGTCTGGTCTGGTCCAATCCTGTCTTGTCAGGTTCAGACAGGAATCATCACTACTGCATCAGTCAGCAGCCACCTAACTATGTAGAGATACCAAGTTACACACTTGTCGCAAATAATCAAGTATAAATGGTACGCAAAATGCAGAGTTCCAATTTTCCTCACCTGGCCTGATACTCCTGTATCCGATCACCTGGTGCCTCTGCTATCACAAGTCTGATCTCATCTGGACAGGAACACTTGCAGAGCTGGCAAACCCTCAGCACACAGCTAACTACAGAATCACATGAAAACAAGGTCAAGTTACAAGGTGTTATCAGCCCTGTCATACACAGACAATAAAAACCTTAACAACTACTAGTAGACCAGAAACTTTTGATGCCATTCTTGAAGAGCTTAAAAGTCATGTTTAAAACATACAGCTAACACTTAAATCACCTAACTGTATAAAGGATAATCAATTTAGGCTATTGATGAGAAAAATTGTACCCAGGGGGAGAATTGTCATATAACAACGTTTAAGACTTGCTATACATTTATAGACACTCAAGGGTAATCTGTACAGTTGGTTTAATTTAACACAATGTCATGTATGTGAATATTACACTTACTTTACACATGTACATAAAATTTAGTTTCATAAACTTGCGAATGTTCGATGTTTAATTAGTTGGTTCTACGATTAAACAAAAAACAAATCAGATGCATGTAACAACATTACAGAATTCCTATCCAATACCTAAAATTATTGAAGCTTCAAAAATAGACTTTAGGGCAAAAAATTAGGAATTTGGGGTTGACACAGAACCTGAATGTTACAAGTACATGTTTTTTTATCAGGAAAAAAGGCTGGCAAATCCAAGACACAACAATTTAAAGTGGTGTTTCTTTGTCATTTTATCCCTGTCTGAAATACCTAGCCAAATGAAGAGAAATGCATGCATATCGATAGGCAAAATTTCTAGTGTTTTCCATGAGGGAAATTCCCACAAATATTCTACCCATGTTTCCTTTGTTTCACAGACAAGGGGCAAAAATATTAGACCAGGTATACAGAAACAAACGTCCATTCTTTTCTCTTGAAACTTTAACTCAAGAGTAGGAATACCTAATTGTGATATTCTGGGAGAAGACGTGAAGAGTGAATTTCACAGTGACTGAGATACATGTATATTGAAACAACGACCCAAAACTACACAAACTATCGTGTTGCATTCTCAAAATTACACAAATTTACCACGAAAATACCGAAACGTGTTGTTATCAGTTTGTGGGAAATAAATTCTACGGCACGGCTTGTTGTCTTACCTTGTGAAAACTCTGCCCTCCCCACGACCACGCCGCCATCCTTCGGGCGCCATTTTCTCGTCTTTTCCAAAATCCACCACGTCAGGAAATCCGCAATTTCTTCGCCCAAAATGCAGAAAACGGCACAACTCCGCCGTAGAACCATCCCCAAAGATTTCTTCTACAAGTTAGAATGAAGATTTTTCGAACTGGAAGCCGAAAATTTACCAAAAAGTTGATAAATAATTCCTGGTCTTCCCCGCGTGGCTCCGACAGACGCAGACTGAGTGGACCGTACCACTGTGACTTTTACACAGCAGTGAACAACAGCTGGTCTAATTTACCCTGATAACCACAACTACTTTACCGCCAAAAATCAATCCCCACAGAAAAATATTGGCCCTCTGCTCAAAATTTCGAACTGCTTTGTGTCAAAATAGCACACAGGCAGTGTCAGCAGCAATAAGTATTCAATTTGGTCAAAGTATAGTAGTACGAATCTGCTAATTCAATCCGCCTCGGCACCACATGTTTCTAATGCAAACGGTACCTGTCCTTGGTGCTGAACGCCATCCTCATAGTAAAACACACAGTATGTATGGTGAAATCCACACGCGCGCACTCGCTTTTTGAGCGTCCGTAAAGTACAGGGACTTGTTAAAGCTGGCCAAACCTTACATAAAAAATGGTATGCATTTGAGGAAGGTAGGAGTGGAACTGTCAACGGTCTACGATAAATTCACAATGGCAGCGGCTACATGTTACGTTGCATTCGGGCAAGCTGATTCCGCCTTCATGAAAATCCAGGCACTAATAATATAGCTTATTTTACGCTTTTCATTGACTGCACCGATTACATACGCTATATGCTGTTGTATATGAACCATTTAGTCGTCTGGCTACCAATTATGTAATATCAAAACGGCCGATTACGCCCCAGGCTTGCAGGCATTCTTCGATCTTACTCCACAAGTTTACATGCAAACGGTGCCTGTCCTTGGTGCTGAACGCCATCCGCACACTGTTAAACACATAGTGTGGTGAACACCACATGCCCACTCGCTTTTTGACGAAGGCAGTTCTAGATGGACGATTGCCAGGGTTGAGTAGCTTGCTCCCTACTGAATACTGTATTTACAGCTGATGATGTAACAGAAAATAAAGTTTCTCGTAAATAACTTTTGAGACATGTGCTTCTTTTATGTGAGCGTGTTTACTTCATTGGTAAAATGAATGTTGTCACTATAGCTACTTATGCCAGGTATTCACTACGATCCATTCACTACTGGTATGCAAATGTAGCTAATATCACACATGTTGGAAGTTCAACGAATCTACCGTCTATAACGTTCATAATGCTATTGAAAATGTTTGAACCGGGTATTTCATTTGGTGTAGATGCGCTATCGGAGTTTTATTTTGTATAAATGATACAATTTTCCAGCGACTATTGGCTCCGTGAAACCTGAAAAGGAAGAAATATTGACAAAAACGCTCTGTATTCAGCCGCCTGTACAAGCCGTTCTATGAGTAATTGTCTCAAAGTGAACAGATAGATGCCCGAATAAAACGGATCTTTCCCAACAGATAGTTGACATTTAGGTTTTCGGGATGAGCTTTAATGTCAAGAACAAGAGCAGTAAAGACCCGGAGTAAAAACCCCATAAGAGCCCATTGCGTTTCCCAACTCGCGAAATGGCCAAATCTGGGAATGAGCGAGGCTTCCTTAGCGAGATACGGGCCCTTTTTGAAACAGGGATTCGAAAACAGGGGTGTGATAAGGGATGAATATCCGCTTTTTCAATTATAGAAAAATGAAACTTTTGACATTTTTAGGCCTCCTTGTCTATAGCATATACTCCACACGGTCTCTATTTTATTCCTACTTATTTCCTTCCTACAAATTTGCTTCATTCTCGAGTTATGCGTCAAAGCTGATTGCTTGCAGAAGTTTCAAATACATACAGTAGTTACAAAAATAATCTGGCACAATTCGGAACAGTCATACATATAGTTCAGGTAGCTTTCTAATGCTACTGGTATTTCAACTTTTCCTGCCAGTTAGAAAACACACCAGGAAGCAACATTTTTGGTCCGACCGACTCCAACGATGCTGAAAAGTCCCACCTTTCTACCCAGTTAAAATTGCCTGTGGACTTTGGGGACTATTATTCCTCTTGGTAGTCTTCCTCCCTCCAGACCTTGACCACGTTCTCAGCAGCTGACAGCATGCAGGGGAGGGAGGGATGATAGCTGAGGGAATGGACAACACCTCTTCCTGCCTTGGACAGTGTGTGGACAACTTTGCTCTGAAAAACATTGGGGAAAATTGGAGATTATTCATAACGTATTTAGCAGAAATGCAACACATTTCAGATGGATACTGCAGGTGATCATACCTAATGATTCCTGTTGAAAAACTTGTCCTAGTTCAGGCCTTGAACAAGCTGCTTTTGAAGAACAAAATATCATAAGCTAGAATTGATTTTTTACATTGGTCTATTGGAGAAAAGAAGTGAAAGGCTATTATATATATAAATCTCCAAGCAGATCTTTCGGTGGCTGTAAAGACAGTATGAAAAAAAAAAAAATGGCCAGGCAGTATCCATTTGCCAGACAGTTACCATTTGCAACCCGAAGGCATGCAAAAAGATACCAGTCCAAAAAAGAAAGCTGAATAAAAATGCCTCAAAACATGTCAAAAATATGCAGAAGCCTAAATCTCTGCTTGGAGGGTAGTGAAAGACCAGGTCATAATAGCTATTCCCCATTCTCACTAGGATAAAATTGTCTGGATCCAGCAGGATTGATTCGCTTTGGTCGTGCTTCAAGCTGGACTGAGCCGGATTGAAGCCGAATCAAAGCGAATTGATTCGACTTGATCCGGACAATTTTATCCTAGTGGGAATGGGGCCTTAGACAATTATGTAGGACAAGAACTCTCAGAGAGGGAGAGTGGAAGTGATGAATGAAGAGAATCTGAGTCTTACATCTACCAGGTCCCAGAAGTAAATCTTGCCATCCTCTGAGCCGCTGACGACATGTGCATCACTGTTGGTCAGGCAACAGTCCGTCTTAAACTCCGAGCTTTTGTGACCTGTGTACCTAAGGAAAATACCAAGAAATACCAACACATTACTCAAAGATTAGCTCTTTTTGAGTTGAGCTTGTCTGATACATTGGGGATATTCTTCTTGAAGCAAAGTACATGCAGAAGTAAAAAAAAAAACTTGTACATGTATTATACTTGTAAGGGATGGTCCAACTACAATAGTCTTTGGATTATGGATAGAATCACTTGGGAAACTTGACAAAATTAACAAGGCAAGCTACTACTACATGGACTATTTTCAATCAACAAATCATGAAGAAAATTTCTCTTCAGTGAATAACAGTGAGACAATATTGGCTATTGAACAGTAATGGTCTTTCAAACAAGACAGTAGTACCCTCAGCACGTATGATTGGCTGGTTCTGGTGATCAACATGAATCATGTGATTGGTTGGTTTGCATCAGGTGACCAAGATAAACCATGAGATTGGCACTGCTGGGTCAGGTGACCAAGATGGATGCCTCCATGAGCAGAAGGTAAAAATAAAACAGTTTAAAAGATGGCATCTTGATTGCAGGCAGACTTACTCCCCGAGCAGCTCGCCTGTGTCCTTGTCCAACAGTCGGAGAGTACTGTCGAGTGCCGAGCTCAGGACACACTGGCCATCTTTGGTGAAGCACACACAAGTCACCGGGCCTACAGGAGTAGAGGAAATCATTGAAAGTCGTGTTGAAAGACATGAAAGGCATAATGAGGTACATGTATAAGAGCAGTCGTCAGCAACACGTATTGCACCTGTTCGAAACCCATAATGTATTGTGAATAGCACTTCGGCAGAACGCCTCATATAAGGTTGTATTTACCTTTTCTACAGTTTCTATGATCTCAAATTAACCAAATAAACAAAGCACCTACTTCCTATGTAATCTACAAGCAGTTCTCCCACACGCAAGTCATATCTCCTAACTCTGCCATCCACAGACCTGAAGTCAAGAACAACAAGAAGTTGTATTTTCATTGTTATAATACATGTACACATACTGTACAGATACACATATACGTCTATGTGCATGGGTCAGATAATGTAACTTTAGTTCAAGTAATCTGGTAGTGAACTGGAAGTGAACTGACCCTGTGAGGATTTCGTGGTCTGATAATTTTATGCTGAAAATTCCGTCCTTCGCTTCATCCAGAATCTGGATGGGGTCGTATTTCTTGGCGCGGCAGTCCCACAGTCGGACTGTGGTGTCGATAGACCCTGGAGGAGAAACATTTTAGAAATATAACTTGCACCTTACAGATCACCATGATGTTAAAGGCATCCAGTGCAATTTCAGAGGAGCAAAATGAAAACAAAAATTCTGGATGAAGAATCTGAAGAATCCTTGGTTGTGTAGAAGAAAATCACAATATCTGACATTTTGTATACACTACAGTACTTCCTTCAGGTATACAAAGACCCGAAGTAAGTACTGGAGTCTAGGCAACCTCACCTGATGCAATGACAGTTGACTCTTCATTAAACTTCACACAGTTCACACGCTGGAGAGTAAAAAGACAACAAATTTCATGTAGTAGGGACACATAGGTTGCAAAATATCTATACCTGTACTTGTTGTTTGTAAATGTAAGTGGACATATATAAGTCTATCATAATGAGAAATAAACTATTCTCCAACTAAAGAAAGTTGACTTACCAGAATTTTTGACTGAATCTCTCTTATGGAACTTGCCACGTTTAATTTAGATGAACTTTTTCAAACTTTAATGCTAATAAAAGTCTATCATATAACGTTAGTTCATAGAGATGTATGCAAAAATCCATCAAACCTCAGTCAAGGATACTCACCCCAACATGACCTCTGAACCTTCGCACCATCTTTCCTGTAGAGACATCCCATAATATTACCATCTTGTCCGCCCCAGTAGACGTTAGTTGGCTGTTGTCACATGACCTGGGAGGAAAAACACACTGTACTTTAAAGAGCAAAACTATGTATACGAGTGGGAAAATACATATTTCTTTATTTGTATTTAAGTAGTATTTAAGTAAAAACTAAGTTTAAAAGGACTCCATTCCAAGTTACACTTAGAGTTAGATGTGAGTATATTACAGTACTATGGTATCAAATGAAACTGATACCCTACGTGCACCTTTAATAAAGAAGTAATGAAAAGCATTACACTTTGCTTAATTGTGATGGGATTTCAGAGATAATCAAATCAACCTTCTAAGTGTCACACTCACAGTCACAATCCAATTTCCAGGTAAATTTTTTTCAATGATTCATCTGATAATTGAATATGATGTTCAAGTTAGTATCAGGATAAAAGGTTAATCAGACAAAATCATGACAATCTGAGTGTAAAGGAAAGTCTTGAGTGTTGAGATACTTACGCAGCAACATCCAGGACTTCATATCCGTGTCCGGAGTATGTCATGATGTGTGTGCCCTTGTGCGGGTTCCACAGTTTGATAGACTTGTCACTGCCACATGTCAGACAGTAGTTCCCATCATCTGCAGAAAAGGGGTGGCAGTTGTTAGATGATTACATCAGCCCAGTACAGTATTGTTTTGCCATTGCCACTAATGACAGGATACATGTACTCATCAATATACCATTGCCATCATAAACTGTGAAATCAAGAATATAACCTCCTTCTTAACACTAACGCCGGTTTGATAGAAAATTTTCATTAAATCTTGATGGCATATGTGTATTAGTTAACAAAAATATATGTAAAACAATAACAAGAACGACAAAATCAGGGTGTACGTTAACAAATTAATTTGGCCGGGAGTTTGGTAGTCATTGTACAAAAACGCCAGAGTATTTCGAAAAACAGCAAAATATTTAGAAATGCTGTCATAGGGTCGGGACCATAGTCACCATATATACATGTATATATGGTGACTATGGTCCCGACCCTATGACACATAAGTTCAAACAACGGGAAACTTATGACTATGTTGCTAGTAAAATATTGACATAATATGCAAAAGTACCGAAGTAACGGGTTCCTTTCTCAGCACTCGGTATACAGAGGTGAGGCGGCCTCCGTCCTAGATCTCCAGTGCCGAAGGTACGTCAACACTTGGTGCCCAGTGTCGGCGGCTTCAGCACTGGAAACTCTAAATCGGCAAATCAAACCTTGTCTTTAGAAAGGGTATCGAGATGCCGCCTTTGAACTCTAACACTCATATTTTCGAGATCGTACCGCCCGGGAATCAAATTATAATCGGGGCGACAAGGTGATCGGCAGGGCAATACTGCAAGGCTCAGATCCTCACATTTTTACAGACGTAGACTTGGCCTACGATGCTGTACTATACGCCGCGCGGCCGACGTAAGCACCAGAGGCCCAGTGCCGAAATGGTTTGAGAACTCGGCTCCCAGCGCCAAGAGTCACCGAGCACTGGAACGATCCAGTGAGGAACCCGTTACTTAGGGACTTCGGCACTTGCTATCCAGTGGTGAATGGCCTCCGAGCACTGGTCGCGGAGTGCCGAGTGGAATTCAGCGCTGGCTATCCAGTGGTGAACGGCCTCCGAGCGCTGGCTATCCAGTGGTGAACGGCCTCCGAGCTCTGGCAAACGAGTGCTGAGTGGAAGTTAGCACCAGAAAACGAGTGCCGAGTCAAGATTCAGCTCTAGAATTCCAGTCCTGACGGTGTTTCAGCACTGGAACAAAGCCGTTTCTGCACTAGAATTCCAGTACGGAGCTTTCTTCCGAACAGGGCCCCGAGTGTCGACGCCACTTTCCCCGTGAGTTCGGCACTGGGCGGCCAGTGAGGAACCCGTTACTTCGGTACCCTTGCACATAATATAACGTTGCATGTAATTCTTCATTCAATTCCGAATTCAGTTTCGGTAAAATTTATTCACCGCGATGCAATTTTTTTTGGAAACAAATCAACGGGGAGGGGGGCGTCTTCCCAGATTCCCAACTTGCTACTTACCGTTGAATCTGACGGCCCTCACCGCTCCCTGCTTACACTCTAGCGTTCTTGCAACCTTGGCCGGGAGTTTGGTAGTCATTGTACCTCTGAGTATTTCGAAAAGCAGCAAAATATTTAGAAATGCTGCAGAAAACGCAGAAAATGGTCACTGGGGGCCGCCATGTTTTTTACCCACAATCCCACGGGCTACTACGAGTAACCGGAAATGTGATCACGATCACAGCTGATCGCAGACTGTAGAATAAGACTGACATTTCAGAGTCTTCCACGTTCTTTGCAAGCGATCGCACTTCACTCAAGACACGCTTGTATCCAAGCTAACTTTCAGGTGCGTTAATGAGGTTACACACAGATCTCGATCTCAGTTATGTCACGAAAAAAAAAAGTCATGTGTGGGGGGTGGTGGTGGTTATAGGCGCTACTAAATTTATAATACAACCCCCCCACTGTTACATGTGCTTTCGTAGCTAGAGCTCATATTAGTCCTTGTTATTTGCAACCATTATGGGCAGTTCAAATGGTATTTGTTTGATTGTATCTCTTTTTTAACCTCCTTGATTTGATAGAAAAGTTACTTGGTTGGGGGGGGGGTTACCTTGGTAACTAAACTGACTGATTGAAGTGATGATGTTACAGTCAGGCAGGAACATTATCTTAGCTTTTTGTGCATGAAGTTTTTACAAATGTCTGGTTGATTTTAGTTTTTACGATTGAGGTGTCCAAAAGTTGAACCAATGTTCGAACTTACTGAAGGCAGAATATTTAGTGAGATCTATTTTAAGTGTAACATGTAACGTTAATTGATATTGTTGTTTATGTTACAGAGAACAAGCAGAAGTGTGGTTCAGTTGTACACAAATTGTCCGAACCATGGCCATGTCACTGAGTGATCTGGTGACCAAAGGTCTGTCGGGGCTGTGTAAGGAGGTTTCCCTGTCCGTGCTGCCGAGGCTCTACATGGAGGAGGTCATGTTGGAGCTCCGCCGGCGTAAAATCCAGGTCGACGGAAAGGGCGTAGACAAACGCACCCTGGTCGCCCTCCTGCATAACCTGATGACTTTAGAGTATAGCGAGGCTGATAAAAATGGACAAGAAGTCCACGTGAAAAACACATATACAACTGTGTCACTCCGTACCATATCACAGCAAGAGAGTGGAAAAACCCATGTAGAAAGTGTTACTGTGACAGAAAACTCAGTCTGTACTTCACCACAGCAAGAGAGTGGAAAAAAACATGTAGAAGGTGCTATACCCACAGAAGAGCCGCTTGACACTATCCCAGGAGAGGATGGCCAAGAAATGCACATCAACAGTGCAGAGCAGTCTGCAAATCTGACAAATGCCATCTCCCAACCTCAAGCCACAAATGATATCCAGAGAACTAGGGAAGGCACCAACAAGGAAAGGGCAGTGGTGGATGACTGCAACATTTCTGAGTCAACAAACATGAAGGATACAAGCAGCGATATGGTACATAGAGGTACAACAGAAGGCTTTGCTGCAGCACAACAATCAACAACTCCTGCAGGGGTCCCTGTTGACCAGGCTTGTACTTCCACTGAAAGAGGACTGTCTGAAACTCTGAGTGAGAGTGAACTACCTGTTAAGCCTTCCACCATCTTGAATTTGATTCAAGATTCTCAACAGCATGTGTCTGTATTGAAGGTTCCAGTGCTAACTGTTGCCACGTGCCTCCCTCCCTCTGAGAGGTTGGGACAGAGTGCAGGAAGGAAGGATGGAATGATGGAGAAGAAGAGTGAATCAGGTGATGTGACGGAAGACGGGATGGGAGGAGACAGTGACGACTGTGGTGATGAAGAAATCTTACACACGGGCACAGAAGCTGAAGAAAAGCCCTACAGGTGTGAGAAGTGCAGCAGTCAGTTCAGTAGCCAGGAAAATCTAAAGAGCCACAAGTGTGCTCACACGGGGAAGGGACGCTACAGATGTGAGGAGTGCGGCAAACAGGTCACTACGCCTTTTCGTTTAAAGAGACACATGCGTACTCACACCGGGGAAAAGCCCTTTAGCTGTGAGAAGTGTGGCCGGAAGCTCAGTCAGCCACATACTTTAAAGGTTCACCTACAGACTTGTACAGGGGAGAATCACCAATGTGACAAGTGCAGTAGGCAGTTTAGAAAGCTATCTGATCTGAAGAAGCACATGCAAACCCATGCAGTGGTGAAACTCCACAAATGTGAAAAGTGCAGCAAGCAGTTTTCAAAGATATATCTTCTGAAGAAACATATGCTTGTTCACACTGGCAAAAAGCCCTTCAGCTGTGAGAAATGTGGCAGGCAGTTCAGCCAGCAACACAAGGTAAAGAACCACTTACAGACTTGTACAGGAAAAAATCACCTATGTGGGGAGTGCAGTAGGCAGTTTAGAAAGCTATGTGACTTGGAAAAGCACATGCAAACTCACGCAGGGGAGAAACCCTACAAATGTGAAGTTTGCAGCAGGCAGTTTTCGAGACCTGGTCGTTTGACGATGCACATTCTTACTCACACTGGGGAGAAACCTTTTACGTGTGAGAAGTGCGGCCGGAAGTTTACTCAGCAACATCATCTGAAGGTTCACTTGCAGCAGTCTTGCATACGGGTGACTCACAAATGTGAGAAGTGCAACATGCAGTTTAGAAAGCTACATGATCTGAAGCAACACTTGTGCATGAGCACTCACACAGGGGAGAACCTTAAGTGTGGGGAGTGTAGCAAGCAGTTCAATTTGCTGAAAAATCTGAGGAGTCACATGCGAACTCATTCAGGGGAGAAACGCTACAGGTGTGAGGAGTGTGGCAACGAGTTCAATAGGCTGGGTAACTTGAAGAGGCACCAGCAAACTCACAGTGAGGAGAAACCTTACATGTGTGAGCAGTGTGGCAGACGATATGGTCTACTGTCTTATCTAAAGAATCACATGCAGACTCACACTCCCACTGCCCGGAAGAAAGCGTACAGGTGTGAGACCTGCAACAGGAACTTTTCCAGTCAACGTCATCTAAAGGATCACATCATGATTCACACCGGTGAAAAACCTTACATGTGTGAAAAGTGTGGCAAGCAGTTCATTCGACTGGCTGAGATGAAGGCTCACATGTGGAAACACACAGGTGTGAAATCCCACACTTGTGAGCAGTGTGGCAAGCAGTTCGCTAGTGTGACAGGTCTAAAGAGACACTTGCTTATGCACACTGGGGAGAAACCTTACAGGTGTGAGGAGTGCGGCAAGCAGTTCAATAGGTTGACTAGTTTGAAGAAACACAAGTTTAATCACACAGGTGTGAGACCTTACAGGTGTGAGGAGTGTGGAAAACAGTTCAAGTTGGTGGCTGCTTTGAAGAGGCACATGCTTACTCACACTGGTGAGAGACCTTACAGTTGTGAGGAATGCAGCAAATCGTTCAATCGGCTGGATTATCTCAAGATACACAAGGAGAGGATGCATCAGCCCAATGGTCAGGAAGTGCAGCAAGCCATTCATTCAGTCTACACCAGAGAGACACAGGAAAACCCAGTGGACTAGTGACAAATACTAAAACTGAGAAGTAGAACTCTTGAAGTCTGGTGTAAAAACAAAACCAGCAGAGAGAAAGGAAAAGTGATCAAAAGATATCATCACTGTGGACCTTTAACTTGAGTTTAAGTCCATGTCAACATGTGTTGGGTATTTTGGACAATGATTTCTAGATATAGCATTCCCATGTACAAAATGTACTAGTAATTAATAAATTATTCTTCCTCTTTGAGGAAAATGCTTCCATTCAGTTATTTCAGGATTAATGCATAATAAGGTTTTGTAAAACTTTTCGTTCATAACAGTTTAGTTACTGATAATAAGAAGCAGAAATTTGTTTTGTTTTTAATTTTTTCGAGGTAATGTTAGTTATAGATTTTTACAGACTCTTACAATTCTTACAAACTCACAAAGTATCCCGTACACATAAGGGTTTTGTAATAACAAGTCTTTATATTCTCACAAAACCCTAAAGACAGTATTCAATATTTCATACCACAAAGGAATTGAGATGGAATCAACCCTACTAGTACTCATCGGAGTTGTATATTTACAGAAAATATATGACGATTTCTCTACTATATGTAGCAGCAAAAGCACACAACAACTTCAAACCAATGGCTTTACACTCCTCCCAAATATCCCTCAGGTAACACCTTCCCACAAGGCACATAACAAAACAGGTTACATGACAACAAGTCTTCAAATCGCTAGCCTGGTATCCAGACTTATCATGGCTGACAAGTCTCCTTGTCCTCTCCTCAACTAGGATGGAAGTGACTGCGGTTACAATAGGTTTGGATTCCAGGCTATGAAATTGATGACATAAATGTCAAAGATTTGTTTGGGCATTCAAAAAATGCTTCTCTCTTTTCGTTCTTTATCAGTAGACAATTGTCAGACTGTTAAGTTTTATGAAAATTGTACCAATATATTGGATGTGCCTCCTTCATGTTTACCTTTTTCACTTTCAATCATTAGCAGCAATAACTTTGAAAGTAAACCCATATGTACATGTATAGCAGCATTCTACTCTGTTTCAACCCCCACCTGTACAGTCAGTATATTTCAACAGAAAATGTAAAAATATCCCTTTTCATACCATGACTGAGGTATTCAGCATTGCAGGTGTGAGTTAGATGAAGAAATATGGAATATCGTGAACTTTTTTCTTTCAACAATCCCTTAATTTTTTTATAAAATGTTTTTCAGCGTTGTTACAGCTAGGCTACAGCGATAGCCTGTGGTTGGTTCATGTTCATCAGGTAAGTGTCGGGTGTTTGTGGTTCTACGATGAAGACCCGGTCTTGTACACGCACATCCTTCATTCGGATTCTCTCGCTGCAAAGAAAACGTTAACGGTTAAAAAGACCAAGATACATACAAGATACAAAAATGTGCTATTTGGAATGAAATTTGGAAGAATTAATATACAGTGAATGACAGTTACTGTACTTTTAAGAGAAACTTAGACTGGTCAGTTCGAAACCAATAGACTAACATGCTTTTCTGGAAAAAAATGTCTAACCTACATGTACTTAACCTGCATCTACATGTATACTGATAAAATCTGGATGCCCACCACAGAAAAATATTACTACGTTAATCTTGATTGTACATTTTTCACTGGAAATGTAAAAAATGACTCACTTCATGAACTTCTTCCTGGACAGACTCTGTTGCCGGGATGTCTTGGAGTTAAAGACGCTACTGTTGGCGTTCACGTGTTGAGCACGCTCCCACCGTCGCACCTCGTACCGACCCGGGCCTACAGGATTCTGGGAAGGGAAGTTGAACGGTAAGTCTCAAAGAAGAAACTACGTATCATGATTATGTTTTATTTTCTTTCACTTGCTTGTTGAGTGTTTGCTAAGACTTATCCCATAATTTAAAACCGAATTGGCTAAATGGTGAACTATAAGAGGAGAGGGATAGTCAAATTCAGAAGAAGAAAATTCTGAAATGGTTTTATCTACAGTGTTTAAACTTAAGACTTAACTTGCATGACACTAATACATTTGTGTACTGTGAGAAGAATTCATTCAACAGAAAATCTAACATCCCATAAGTTTTCAATTTAAAACAGAAAATGAGACCATCAAACAGAACTGAGTGAACTGACTGGAAACTGTGAATCTGTTTTGATAGTCACACTTACTGTACTTCCCAGGAAGAATTTATTGGCTCGTTTGTCGAAGCGTTCGGCAGAAGACTTGAAGGGTGGCAGGTGGTGTGCAGAGGCTGTTGGGATCTCTTTTGGAGAATGTGTACCAGGACCTGGAGTACCCTGGAAGAATCAAGGGAAAAACACATCATAACTAGAAAAAAAAAGTACTAGTATAATGTTTACCTTCACATGGTCTAGTCTAACAAACTACTGCTCTGTTTATCCTAATTCAAACACATCCATATCATTATACATGTATAATATTTGTGTGCAACCCCTCCTGTTCTGTCCTGCTACATAACGTATCCCAACACCACAGAGTGTCTGCTACAGCACCAGTTACCATGGTGACAGCTGTCTGGTCCAGGACATTGACTTTACTATGTATTTGTTTGGAGAAAAATAGGAAACACCACAAAAACAATGTTTTCCTTCTGCAAAGGTAAACATAATTATGGTGCATTGTGATGCTCTACTGATGCCTCTGTCCTACATTTGCATTTAGTGATTGTGTTAATGTCCAACCAGATTTTGGGATGGAAAATCATACCAGTGTTTGTTGACCAGGGATAGTTGCATGTAAGAAAAACGGCCTGCCAGACAATTAGTCCAACATCTGCCCAAAGATGACCTCGGCCATGTTATGAATATGGTATAGACGATGTAGCAGTCAATGCTAAACTAGACATTGTTTGATGTTTGATAATGTTGGTTCTATCATGTATCTATCAGTCACAATGTGGTTGTTTTGGATTCACATTTGATTATTATTGTCCAATTTTAGCAGCTCTGAAAATACAATGTTTTTGTTTATTTGTTTACCTCAGGTCTGGGGCACTGTGACAGGGTGTGACAGTATATCCTGTCCCCAGGAATCTTTGGATGCTGGGCGAGTTTGCTGAACTTGCCCTTGTGTGTGTTGTGTTCGTCCGACCACTTCATCAGGAAACTCTTCAACTCGTACTCTCCTGGACCCAGGTTGGCCGTTTTCTAGTGGGAGAAACAAATGTTAGGATTGGTACGTCCAGTCTTTATTCTGCACATATGTATGTAACTGTTACATGTATATATTTCAGGGTAGAGACTGTGATCTACCAGAAGAGATCCTGGTTAGAGCTTTTCTCAACATAGTACTTTTGTATTGAGTACTTAAAAGTTTTTTATAGGTGAAAGCTTTCAGCACCAAGGACAGGACCGCTTGTAACAATAGTCTTACTCAAGGTTATAAGAAGGAGGTTGAACATCTCAAATTTATCAAAATGTTTCACGTATTCATATTCCTATTGATACAAAGTATGTCTGCTTGATAAAACCAAGGCAAGTGGAAAATAATTCTTAGTAGTTACAGATTATGTGTATCCAGAGCAAGCCGAGGAACTGACAACAGACAATACAAATCATGCACAGAATGCTGAGTCAACATTGCTCTTAGAAAAACAGTTCCACATGTATACAAAGATCTCCCATCATGTTGAAAGGTTCAACTCACAGGCACAGCGAAGTGTCCCACGGTGATGGGTTTGTTGCGTTCCCCTGTGAAGAGGTCGTACGGTCCCCGCTTGCTCACCATCCTGTCCGACAGCTCCTCCGTAAAACTCTTCCTCTCGTACCTACCAGGTGCCAAGTCCGTACCCTGAACAAAGTACAGAGTCAAGAATTGAATCATAGTATTCTACTATGTAGAGTATGTTAGCAATTTTGCTAAATGTAGAGACAACTTTTTGCATTGTTAAGGATGTCAGGTTTATCTACTGGTATATCATTCTTCACATAACTCAGATATTGTAGAGTGTCCCCACCAAGAGTGTCCCCACCAAGTACAGTAGGGACATCCTCAATAGATAGCTTAGATTTAGATATTCAAAGGTTTAAGTTGTAACAAGTCGTTCAGTGTAATATATATAGCTAACTGCTGTATATATTATATAACCAGTATACACTGAGGAAGATATTGACTACGCATCTAAATTTATCTAAGATCTCTGTCTCAACATGCCCGCATCACAGAAATGAAAATTTTTCTAACTGTAGACATCTCCCCCTGGTAGGTTGTTACACTCTTCAGACAGTATAGGACAGTTTGACCTTTCAATAACCTTCTCCCTGCATCCATTAACCACATAATCAGTCTAGTTGCCAGGAGGCAGAGGTTTAAACAGAGGAGGTTGTCCTACCACAATGGGCAGTGTCCTGGAGGATGGTGCCCCTGAGCTGAGTAGTCCCACCCTGCTGGCAGACTCCTGTGCCTTCTCCTCTTTAGCAGCTGCAGGGATCCCGCCTTTTCCATATGTACCTGGGCCTGGGGTCTCCTCCGACTGTATTGTGTATAGGAAAGGAGTGTTATTATGTCCTTATAGCAAGCAAATAGGTGCTGAAAAATTGTTTGTTTTCCTGTGATAGAGATTCCACACTTTCCATACTTCCCTGGTCTGGTGGTCTATTACCAGACCTTATAACAAGCAATAGGGGCTGAAAAACTGTTTTCATATGACAGTATAGCACATTATACAGATGGACATCACAGTATATTATAGAATGGTGATTCAAAAACATTGTCTCAATATATTTGTGTTGAAGTGATTCTTGTCTAGCGATGTTGGTATTTTAATGTCTGATACATGTTCTTGGTAGTTTTGGTATAATGTTAAATGTAAGTAACTGATTATTCCAGCACTTTAATAACTTAATCTTTGAATCATAGATAGTGATTTCATGGTATCAATTACATTTCTATAAAGTTCAACATGAAGAAGGAGCTAACAGGTGTATAAATGTACCTTGACACATTCCCTGAACCGTTGCTCCTTGGTCTGAATGATGCCCCTCACACTCGCAGGTTTCTTGTCCAGAGCATTGACAAAGTCCAGCGCATGGACCTCATAGGTGCCAGGCCCCAGCATTTTTTTCTGGGAAATGAACAAGAGATCTTTATCACTATGTGTAACATTGAAAATACTACTTGCTTGAAGCCGCTGTTTTTCCCAATGTTGCAACTAAAGATAATTTTACAGCTACTTATAGATTATTGTGTTAAACTCTTTATAGGTTCATTGTATATTACATGCATTTTTTTTATATCTCTGTGCATTGCATGACAATGTAATAATTACTGCTGAATTTTTTCTTGAACATTGTACTATGTGTTGTGATACCCATACAATTGGTAAAGTCAGGCTCTTGACACATAAAAACTGCTACTTTACCCTCAGGAATCCTACCTCTCCAATGACATTAGTTTCCTAAATCATGAAATTCTATAACTCTATATTACATGTGAGGAAAGGCTTACTTGTCTCTGTTTTCTCTCCCAGTGGTCCCTGTTCAGTAGATGCGGGAGGGCCGCCATTCGCTGGGTCTCATACGCGCGTTCCCACCCCGGACCATCCGCACGCTCCTCCACCTGCTGCTGGCTGAAGGCGCCGATGATCGGATAGACTTCGTACACACCGGGACCAAGCTTCCGCTTCTGTAATGAACCATGCAGACCCCCTTTAATATCCAAGACGTGATATTTAACAACCTGACTATATATGGGTTACTTAGTGTCTTCTATAAAGCCAAAGTTAAACATACAAAGCTCAACGAAGTAGCTATGAAGTTGCTTAATGTTTTTTCTAACTGTTACCAAAATATCAAGAGAAAACATGTCTTTGTTTCCTCACCAGCTCTGTAGTGGAATATTTGTCGTAGGGAACTTGTGTGAAGGTTCCTGGCTTCTTACTCTTGGGGTGCACAGCGGCAACATCAAACCTGCAGCAACAGAACATGATATACATGTATGATAGATGTGATACAAAAATTTAATAATTATTATACAATTTTGCTTAGCATCTAACACATGCATAATGATAGCAATCAAGCAAGCTTATCAACACATTCAATCATGCCCAGATTACCTATACTTAAGATTTGATGCCCATACTTAAATACAAAAAAGTAAACAAGCCATATATAAATAGATAAGATTTGGTTGGAGTACAATTTTACCATTTTGCTTTTTAAAATTCATGTCACACATGACCTAAAATAATATGCGAACACACTCAGGTCCCTCTCTATCATTTCTTTTTTTAAAAAACAACATTATTGATATTATCATGTATTAAGGTGATTAATCATCTCAATGAGTTACAAACTTCTACAAGACAAGAAATTAGCTCCAAATGACCATCTTCAAGTAACAAGGCACAAGAGAGACCACTAAGTTAGATGAAGTGGTGTGTACAGTCATTTGGTAGAATGTTACTCCCACATGAAGTGGTGTAAGAGGGTGCTCAGGTAAAACAGCTGTGTACTCTTGAGCTGGACACATCAAGAAGGATATAGTACCCCAAAGGGAAAACAGCTAATGGCTTGAGTCTTAGTGTTAAGTCACATAGATAATCACTTAGTGACATTATACTGACCTGCATGTATGTGAACTATTGGGAATACATGTAAATGTGAACAAATAGTTTGAACTCCTCATCTTTTTTTATTAATGGATGACTTTTTTAGAGTTAGTTACAACCAAAAATACACTCAAGTGTTTACGGTGACTTCCAAAAAGGCCTATTCAATACAGTATAGAGTAGTTGAATGGTCTGTTTGGTAGAGTGGAATGGTTACTATGTATCAAATACCCCCTATAATGCCTGTATATGCATATAAACCTTTCACATACAGATATATTTGCCCATAACCTTTCACTGATATCCTGGCAACGGCACTTAATAACTGAACTGTGTTAAAAGTTGTTATTGTGCGTATTGTATTGTATTTGTTACTGTTGGGCACAATAGAAAGAGAAAAAAAACTTCCATCTTAAAAGCTTTGCCTGTGGAGACAACCCTATTCAAGCTAAGGATTCCAGACATGCAAATATTTTTCAGCAAGCAGAAAGAGAAAACACTAAGCAAACAGGAAAGCTACTGTCCAAACGTTAACCATTTACCATTAACCAAAAAACACAAAAGATGTAATTGAAGTTAGATATGCCAGTGGCAGTGAATGCACCATTGAAAATACTGATCATCAAAAGGTTTAATGACAGAAAAGAAAACATTTTCACTGTTTTGTTCTTCCCATATCTTTCAAATCTTCAGTAATACAGCAACGCCTCTGGTCACCAAAAACTGTTATAGTAACAATATTCCTGTATACAAGTAACATTGCATGAAGTGAAGAATTAATTCAACAAAAGATGCATAATTTTGTATGCATACTATTATGCTGTTGCTAAGATATCTCTCTTGAATGATAACAACCATACCAAATTCTTAGTTAAATGCGACATAGGCTATTAGCCACAATACACCAGGTACTGTTTATATAGTGCAGTACCCTGGTGTCTGAACAGATATTTTTAGGAACCCAGCTACTCAAAGTAATCTTTCTACTCTTGGTGTCATAGACAAACACCTGATCCTTTCTTCATATGTTTACAGTGAAGATTTGCGACCACTGAAGACAATATTGAACGTACCCCCTGGATCAAGCCAAAAGACCTGAGGTCTCTTGGTCTAAAGAATTTTAATCTAGTAGGGAGGGGTTGCTTGTTTTCTGCTTGAGTGGACACGAGGTCTGTAATCAGTGCCATGCTGGTTGCTGGGCACTACAGGTACAACTAACAGGTGTCAGGTACCTGTTAGGGAGAGTCCATTCTCAGAATTGTAGAGGGGGTGGTTAAAGAATTATTGCATTGGATTTGAACCTCAAAATTTAACTTAAGTTAATCTAAATGTCTAAAATATGTTACAATGAAACCAAAACAACCATAGTTGTTCTTTCTAGTTTTTTTTCAAATTTACCATGGAACTGGCACGTATTATAGCCACTTGTAAAGGTCTTTCAATGCAGAACACAACTTTTACACAACTTTCCACAATACTGATTGCTTAATTAACAGACTGTCTATTGCCAACAAGCAGAGTTCAGAAGGCTATGTTAAAAAAATTGCTGTAGTTGATCAGCATGAAAAACATCCGACAAAACTTATAAGTTGAACACAAAAGTTGACAGGTATATATCCTGACATATTGACAATATTATACTCTCTGACTTATACAGATATGTCTGGTAGTTGTATCCTGGCAGCAAAAAGGAAGACACATGAGAATATTACGATATCACTGTTCACAAGATATTCCCAACGGAGATTCTGTGTTGAATAATTTATAGTCATGTTCATGTAACAATGCCGTAATGTCATTTAGGCACAATTGCTCACACTATCATCAATGGACAAAGACATAGTGTGTCTTTAAGGTTACACAATCTTAATGTCATGGATTCAGGCATTGGTTTTGACTTACTTTGCAGAAATAAAATACATTTTTTTAGTAAACAACCTAAAGTAGCTGCTATGCTAAACGATTTCACTGTGAACTCCCATTTTCTGTATTTCCTGATTTTTTTTTTTACAAAATGTTAACTTATGTACCACAAACGTATCATTACAACTAACATAATTCCTGACTTTCTTTTTTCTTCACCTGCTGCCACCGTGAATATATAGTTTTGCGAACATCTCAATTTTTCTCAGACTGTGAACTTTTGCTACTATGAAAATTGAGCAATTTACAGTTGTAGTTGCCATTGCAAAATGTTCAGATTTTTTTTTTTTATCATTGTTCCCCATATTGACACACTTTACGTTTTTTTTAATTTCCAAAGCTTTGGAGACCATCTATATCCACAGAACCTCACCAGTGACTGGTGTTTGTGTGCCCCCATTCTGAGTGTAACATTAGCATGTTCCAGAACATAATACCTCCCTATAAAAGGATGAATGGGCATTAGTTACTTCACAAACACACAGGGAGACCCCTCTACTTTTCAAGGACACTATCTTTTCTTCACCTTTATCTTCTGGTTTTTATCTTGTCAAGATATTTGATAAAAGGATAGTTGTCAGATTTGAAAAACTATAGTTGGTGGATGCTTCTTCAACGCAATCTAACGTTACATTTTGTATGATTATTTGAACATCATTGCGATACTAAGATAGCATTGAAACTATCCTTTCCTACATATGAATGAAACTGCACCTGTTTCAGTAAAGTGGGCTTCTATATTGCCCCACTAATTGAAATTACAGAATTTATAGCTACTTGTTTGACAGTTTGAGTTTAAGTATAACAGTAAACGTTCCTTTGGTTTGTTGTTCGTGCCTTGAATGTGGTTCCCTTGATTTTAAACAGTTTTATTAGTTACAGGAGTTACCTGTCACAACTTTACAAGACTTAGTGTTGAAGATATACTGGCCATGATCATTCCCTGACTAGAGGCTATATTCTATAAGTAGTACAAAGATATGCAGTGCAAGTCACGAACTCAAACTTTCCTATGTGTATAAATATGTCACATGTGTTTATGTGTTACAGAGTTTTACATTGTTGCATGGTTAACCATTTCAATTCGCGTACTACTACAATGTACAAGGCTTTGAATGGGTCTCAGCGTTTTAAACATAGCGACATTACACCACAAGTCCCCTGGCAACACAGGAAACTTTGTATCGTCTGATTTCTTTGTTGCCCATCGCCCGAGAAAAAGGGACGTGTATTGTTTTGGCGTAAATAATTGAATCAACTGTCTACATAGGAACAATGCGCCATGATTCTTTCGTAAACACCAGACCATTGGACTGATAAGTCCTGGCTTCTTGTGTGAAGGATTTAGAGGAAGTAAGAACAAACAGTGAATTAAGATGGCATTTTTCAGAAGTTGTATTATAAATCCGTTTGGAAATGGGAAAAACACACAGTTTATTATATTGTGGCCTTACTGAAATGGACGTTCTAAAACAATATAGCACAACATGAGACGACCTAGAACGTTACAAAGAATCACCTCTCCCTGAAATCATTATTAGTATTGCAAGAACGTTTGACAGGTAATGCTGCAATTACAAAATGTTTCCTCAGGTTTGCCCCAAAAGGTCGAGATAGAATCAGAAAATGCAGCGGCGCGCAACATTCGGCCGTGATTGAAAATGGGCCAAATGAAGCGGACAGGATTTTGTTACACCAACACACACAGAACTAACCTGGCGGTCTGGACGCCGAAAGGTGCCCCCGTGAAATTCTTCTTGGCCATTTTACAGTCGACTTTCTTGGTTTGATAATCCGATTACGATTTTACACGCTACATCGCCGTGTAGTTGGATAGTACAGACAGTAAAGCCTTGCACACACACGCAGAGGAAGCGAGCTCTCTCAGCTGGAACCAACGAACACATGGACTGGTCGGCCCTGGCAACGGGTGACGCTTATTTGCATATGAATGGAACAGCTGATGAGTCTGGTTTTCGCGCGCCAAATTTGAACATGCCTGTCCTCCCCAGGTAGTCTTTAATACAGGGCAGTGTTAGAAACTTGTACTTCGACGATTGTATTTTTAATGGTTTACAGAAACATTTGCAGGCATTGTCTGTTTCTGCGAAGTCCTACTCAGACACAAAGAACGAAAACAAGTTCACTTTGCTACCCGCTCTAGAACAATGTATTGATAGCCCATTACTTATAACTCCTAACACATAGCTGGTTCACTCCAGATCTAGATCTTACCACTAGAAGTGACAATGCGGCTGTTATCAGCGTATAAGCACGATATGATTGTGTTGCCGCGTTACTTTGCAACAGTATTTGTTGTTCAGTGATAAGCGGGGTCCAACTGTAACACATTCCACCGTCTCCAAGCAAGGAACTTGTGGTCCGTGCGGCTGGATTGCTAACGTCAGCAAAACAAAATCACGAACCCCATTTGAAGTGTGTTCTCTTATTCTGTGCCCTTGAGTAACCCAGTAATAGTATTCTAACCGGCTGCAACCTACATAGACTGCCTAAGGAGAGACACTGGCCTGGAGGTGGACTACTTGGGTCAAGTGATGGAAGATAGGGAGTGTTGGTCAGCCATTTTGTCTCGAGGCCAGGGACACCAGGACTCGACATAAGTCAAGTAAGTCAAGTAAGTCAACCGATTTATAAAGTGAAGTTTTGCATAGTAGCTGTTTGGTCTGAAAGAAACATTTTGTCCTTTGCAGTTATGATATAAACCGCACGTGGCGCTCTTGAATTTGTACAGAGAGCAACGGCGGAAATGCATCACAATTTGCTAATTAATGGAGCTAAAAAACGCATTTTTTTCTCCAAATCGGGATCAAAAACATTCATAGTGTGTCTGGTACCAGTGGTTTATCAGAAATACAAAATCACGATAGATAGCTAACGGCAAGCTAAGGAAAGTGTACCTATTACTGTTCAGATCAGTAACAGGTAGATGGTATAGTGTACTCCCTGTCTCTTATTCCTATAAGAATACAGGAATGCCAGCATAGTCCTAGCTTCTCCCTTGGCTACACTGAATTCTTCTTCTATCTACTTAATAGCGGTGTGCAATTTGTTTTATTCAGGCCTATGTGCAGTTTATTGTTTTACTTCTTAGAACTTCGTCATTTGTATGACTATCTCCCCAGGGAAGGCCGCTAGTGTTGGCACTTATAGTTCTGTTACAGACACGACTGCCTGAAGCTGATAAAATGTCCCCACATTCAGCAATAACTTTTCTCCCTGATTGGTTATGATTTATTGACGCCTACTTAATGAAAGCATTTGTCTTCCCATGTTCGACTGATATCATCTAGAAGTTCTTACCTGCATGACGACGTCATGCATTATTTTTGACACCCAAAGATATTGCGCTTTCTTAAGATTTTTTTCAAAGTCAAGGCTGTATGCACGACACTGTCCCTTGTGACTTTCTGTTCCTGTTGGGCAATGTTGATGATCCTCTGGGAACCCCAAAACTGATGCCAGCGTACAAATAAAAGAACAAAATTGCTTTCATCATGAAATATACGTGATTATGAAGGTTGTACAATTGACTTTACACACAAAGTATGGTATGGCGAATAATAGGCTCTACATTTTTATTTTTTTACATTTACTTTTTTTCTTTTAAAATTGTTTTTGGCATTTTTCGACATCAGTATCGTTTTCCAATATTTCCTTTGCAATTTACGGAATATATCTGCTCATTTTGCAGCTGCCTTGTACAATTTACAGTAGGGTCAAAACTTTTTTTTGAAAACGGGCGAAAATTCATGCATGCGCGCGCGGATGTCATCCATATACAGTAATCAACATGGCCATGGCCTTATAACGACTGATATCCAAAAACCTACATTCAACCAAGATTCACTTCATCAAACAGTGCCAGGATGGATAGCACTTGAAGTAAAACTCATGCCAATTACAAAAAAAAAAAAAAAAAAAAAAATGAGTCTACTTTATCGACTGAAGCATGATTAATTTCTCCCAACACAGTGCATCTCTGGATTAAGTAAACAAAGAATGATATGTTTGAAATGATCCCTTTGTGGTTAGCAGGAAACTCATCACCTTCTAACGGAACATATCACTGATGTCAATATCCCTCCACACAAGCGATTATTATTCGACATTTGGCACAGTTTTCGAGTTATTGAGGCTTACAGAACTCCTATGAGAATGAAATTCATTTTCCACAGCAAATATATTTCGGCAGTTATTTCATTCCATGGGTAGGGTATCTATGGTTAGAAGATTTTTGGTTTGTGGAAAACGATTATTAGAGTAATTCGTATAAATCATGTATGGGGCCTATCGTTCATGGTTTAGCTGTATACACTGCAAAGAAATAAACTAATTATAACAGTAACACAGGCACTCAAGCATTCAACTGCTCTCGACCACACTTTGTATTATTTTCCAATATCTTAAATGCATCGGGATTACGAGAGATATATTTGTTAGCGTGCTGTACTCATTATTTGCTTTCATTAGCGCAGGAGGCGTGCACATTGCCGATAAGTACGCCAGGATGACACCGCTATTCCTTTCATTATACATGACCAAATCTGTTTAATCTCCGGAAAGTATTAGAAATGGGACTATCGAACATGTAATCTGTGGACTGTGCTCTGCTATATGATCAATCAGAAAGTTGTACATGTGTGGGAGGGGGGTATATTATGCCTCCAGTAGCTTCTTTTAAAAAACAAGGAATTCCACAGAAGGCTGTTATAAACTTTAAAGTGTAAAATCGTATTCAGTTTTCAATTATTGCTATTAGTCAAATCTCCTTCTATAGATGATTGGTCAATATAGAACCATGTAAGCACGACGGCAGAACCTACTGCATCTGCGCAAAACCTCCATTTTTTACGGTTTTCGATGGATTTTTGGCCAACGTTGTATCAGAATTTTGCCCGTTGCAGGGGATATTTTTCCGGACATAACATTTGGAAACTACAGACGGAGTGTTAACTTTATATGCGTGAATACGACATTACATGAGACGTTCTGCCGAAGTGCCATGCACAATACATAACGGGTTTCTCGCAGGTGCAGTACGTTCTGCCGACGTGTTAACCATGTACAATGTATCAATAAGACATGACCCCTCCCCTCCCCCCGGGTATCCACCGACAAAGTTTTTGATCACAGGAGTTGAGAAGCTCCGCAGAGTTTCAACATTGACGCAATCTGTCAAGTTGCAGGGGCTGCAGAAGACCAGAAACTACCATCGTCTGTCACTAAAGATGGATGTTCTTCAGGAATTATGGCTCGCGGAAAGCTAGCAAGAAATCCTCGGTAATCCCGTCCCCTCACCTCTGGGAAATGTTTCAGTGGTTAGCACGTGCTCGTACTGAAAATTGAT